GTCGAAATTGAGCCTAAACCCATATAACCCATTTTCTTTAATTTTTTGTAAATTTTTCATTTCTACTCATAAAAAAATGTTTATTCAAGTTTCAATGACCCATCAAACCAGAATCAAATTGCTTTGAAATCAAACCCTAATTTGTTTAGTTTAGGCCCAATATAATTCCTAGAAATTAGTGGATTTTTCTTCAATTAAAGTGTAATTTTTCATTCCTAAACACTAATTCATGCTCAAATAAGTTATAATCAAGTGAAAAAACACTAATTGAATGAAAGAATTAAAAACCCCCAAATTTGGTTCATCAAGAACCCTAACTTTAATTTTTCTTAATTAAGCAATTAAATCTAAATCAAGTAATTAAACATGAAATTGATTTGAAATTAAGCATTCATATGGTGTAGGTGAGGTTAAATTACTTGATTAAGCTCCAAATTAACCTTGAAAAGGTAGGTTGCTTGAAAATTCTCTTCCTCCACTTTCTCCCCCTAAATTTGAATTAGCTCTTTTAATTTTCTCCTTGAAGGTATTCAGCCCCCAACTTGAAATTGAAGCTTAATCAACTGATTTGGAGGGTCTAAAATTGGTTAGAATTATTTTGGGTAGTTTTTGAGTAGAAATTTTGCAAGATTTTTCTTTGTGTTTTTCAACTTTCCTTCACGTTTTAATTTTTCCAGCCTCTCTATTTATAGGAAAATTTTGTGGACTTGTTGAGCTCATCTCCACCCTTAATGTGGGTAAATCTCAGCCCCTAATTCAATTTTTAATCAATTCTTTTCATTTGGCTAAATTTTTGGCCATTTGTTCTTCTTTTTTTAGCCTTCCATTTAGCTTAATTCCAGCCATAAAATTTAATGTAATTCAGACTTAATTAATTCTTTAGGTCGGCCAAAGTTGGAAGGAAAATTACAAATTTTGGTCCGCCAAGTTTCTAGAGTTTTCTAGGGCTTATTCTTTCCTAAATCCTCCTTTTATTCAAATAATTATTTCTACTTTATTTTCAGTATTTAGGAATTAATTTTTACCTTTAAAATTCCTAAATAATTTAATTTGGATTATTAGACTTTTAATTTTAAGCAATCGAGTCCCTAATTTTATACAATTTAGTCCCTACTTTTAAAATTCCATCCCATTCTCTTCAAAAATCCAATTTCTTTTCATAATAAATTAAAATATTTCTTAAGGGATTTTATTTTAAATTTTCATAATTTTTGGACCTCATTTGAGCCTCTACATTAATTATTTAGTGTGAAAATTACACTATTTCCTATTAAAAATATTCCCCATACTTAATAAAATTATTTTAAATTTTTTAGGCACTCTCACATATCCCATATGATTATTCTATGATCTAAAAAAATTCCTCATACACTTAAGGTGCCTAAGTAAATTCTTTACCTTTAAAAACACTATTCCAACAAATAAAATATTCATAGCACATAAAACAATTCACAAAAGTACATAAAATAATTCAACCCCCTCTAACAATTATTTTAAGCACATAAACTATTTTTCATTCATAAAAAACATGCTTTAATTAATTATTCATGCAAAAACTACTATTCATACATCGTAAAATCAATAAAAATATCTCTTAAGCATAGAAAAACTATTTTAACTATTATATACATTCATTGAAGTTCTTAAGGATTATTTCATATCCTTAAAATATGTTTCCCTTATGTTTAATATTAAATTTTTTATTTAATTTCAGTTTCAGCGAGTACTGGTTATTATAGTCGGTTCTCCTCGAGTCTTGTACTTTTTACTTCCTGTGTGGTGAAATATAATGTTTATGGAGAGGTGAGGTCATCCTTGTCATGGTTGTCTAGATATGGGGGATTTTTTCATGTGTCTCTTGTTGGGTCATATTGTCCATTAAAGTCTTATTACTTCTTATTTAGATAGCCTATTGTTTAAATGCATGTCAGTTTTCCTCATTCTTTATCAAGCATTGGTACACTACATGAAAAAATTGAAATTGTGAGTGTTTAAGCACTATATTAACTAGTAAAGTCATTTGACTTTAATTTATAACAAACATTCCGAGATTAAATTCTTCTAATCACTCCAAAAACATAAGGCATTATGAAGGGAGATGACCACTTTTTGTTATGTAATTCAAAACAATGGATCTTTAAATTAACAAGAAAAAGTACAATAAACCTTTCAATAGAAGAAACCCTGTATATACATCACAAATTCAAGACTAGATTATTGATATAAAAGATTGATACCATAATTTAGGTAAATATTGCAATCCCACGTGATCATTGACACCATTCTAGCTTTCTGCCAACCAAAGGCTCCGTGTGGGAACATTTTTGTCAATTCTAGTGTTTTGAGGACAACTTATTGTTGCCTGGTTTAAATTATTTACCTTTTTTTTTTTTTTTTTTTCAATCTGTATAATTTCTTCAATTTTAAAGTATTCAATCCCTATTTATTATGTACATTAGAATCAGGAAGTAAATTTTTTTATACCATTACATCTATTTTTTAGATGATCAAATGACCTATTTCTTGATGTCCAATTGAAACTCTTGCAGTACACCATCATTATAAAAATATTTGTCATGCAAAAAAACAAGCAACAATTATATGGATATGTATAACATGTTTAATAAATCGAGTGGGTAAGAGAAAACAAAATATCATAAGGAATACCTTTATTATATTTAACTAAGGATGACAATGGACGAATACTCGATTCATTAATTCAATTTTTTATTCCATTAATAATAATAGTAAAAAACTATCTATTACCCATTAATAAATCACTATATAAATACTTATATATTTTAAATTTATAAAGGCGAATAAAGATTAAATGTGTTTTATTTTAGTTTTTTTTAATTATTGAACTTTTTTTTTTGTTTATTATTGAACATCATATTATGATTTCAAAATTAAAAATTTAACTTTACTCCATAGATGCATATAAATTAAAGAACTACAAATATATATGGTCGAGTTGTTATTATTATTGTTATTATTATTATTATTATGTATTTTGAAAGGAGAATAAATAGTGTTTAGGATGGAAAAAAATCAAAAAATAAAAAAAGTGATGAGGGGACCTAACTCATTCGTTAGGCCTGTCAGCATAGGCCTGCGTGTGCCTAAGCCAGGAGAGCCAACCCAGCCTCAACCAAGCTTTTGGGAAATTGGCAGACATTTGTGTTTTTTTCTTTTTCAGGGATTTTTGATCATGAGAAAATTGCAAATATCTAGATTTTCTCTCACAAAAATATTTTCAAAAGAACACTTTGAAGTTATCCTAAATACTTCAATAAACATGTATCGAATATCAAAATCCATTACAATAAATCATTAATTCAATTTATAATGTTTATTTATACAACAAATTTTATATTTAATTTTTACAATCGTCGAGTTTTTTAAGTTTTTAAACACGTTCAATCCACAAGAAATATTAATTAAAAAAAAAAACTAAATCAAAATATAAGTTTACTATTCATTATACTTGTTTTAAATATTATTCATTTAGACTCATATGCATTATTCACCCGAGACTCATATGCATTATTCACGCAGACTCATATGTATTATTCCTTTCACTACACATTGGTATTTTTATAGTCTTCAAACATTTTTTAGACATTTATTATGAATTTTTTCGTAACATTACACTTTAGCACTTCTTTTTTAAATATTATTTTTTTAGTCTATAAATATTTTTATTTGATTTTGAAAATTTTTTTTTGTTTTATTTTGACCACTTTGGTCTTTGCTTTTTTTTTTTTTTCTTATGATTTTTCAATTAAAAATTTTAAGGTAAAAAGATGTTTAGGAAAAAATAATTTATAAAATAAGTTTTTAGCTAAAAATGTGGATGGAGATAAATAAGGAATATTTTTTAATAAAAAATTTATAAAAATATAAAGAATAATTATTCAAATACAAATATTTGATTAAAAATGATAACATTTAATGAATTTTTATTTGATATATTTTGATAGAACTAAAATATAACACGAGACATTAAAATAAAATAATTTATAAAAAATAATTTTATATATTTTGTTCAATCTACAACGGTAACGCAAATGAAAAAAAAAAACTAATATCTATCTAAAAGAAAGTGACAATAGACTTAATCAATGCAGAAAACCAATTTTCTGACTATTTTCTTTTTCTTCCTCCATTTCTCCAACCAAGAACTTTTTCGTAAACTGATCGATTTATATGAGAAGCTCTAAAGCAACCGTACCAAAAAAAAGAATCAAAACGAAAATTGAACCAAGTCAATGACGTTTTGCTGTACTCTATTTGCGAAACGACACTCTTTTTTCTACGTTCCAAACACTCCCCACATTCGATAGAAGGGGCAGAGGCCAAGGACGTTAATTTGCATTATACTCACACTCCCAAAATTACCCTCCTTCTTCATCCATCCACAAAACACATGTACTAGTAAAATCGTAATCTCTGCAGTGTTATCATAGTCCTAACAGCAATCCAATTACAGTTCATTAACCAAACCATATTCGACCTCTATAAATCTCTCCACCAAGCTCTCTCTCTTTCGTCCCTCTTTCCTTCTGCCTCCAATATAAATAAGCAAACAAATATTTTCTTTCTCTTTCTTCGCTCATGACCATTCTGAACTGACATTAGGGTTTCGAGATGGATCCGGTACTTTACTGCCTCTTCTAATCATTGATTATCTCTTTAAATGCTTCACATTATAGTCTTAATCAAAGTTTATCACCTTGAAAATCGACTTCCACTCCACTTTCTCCATAGTTCTAGGAAAATTTCGATTTCTCTCGGGAAAATCTGTGTTTAGCAAGTATTTTTCAAGTTTTATCACTTGCATTTTGTTTTTTCTTTCTCATTGCTAGTGATGTTCCTAAAAGTAGTTTAAATGGCAGGAAATACAAAGATTCTCTCTCACCGACCTCTCGAAGCACACAAAAACAGCTTTAAGTAAAGATCATGAGGTACAAAACGCAGCGGTTTTGGTAACAAGCGCGATGAACTCAATATTAGAAGATAACAAACTACAACTACTATCGCTCTCAAAAAAGGTTGTTGCCGACCGTACAATAGTCAACAAGCTGCTCCATCTGTGCTGCACCTTCGATTCTGTTGACTGCGCCACGTCACTACTCAACGGCGAGTTCGGATCGGTGCCGGTGATAGATGAACCAGACTCAGACGGTCTCTGGCCTCTGCACAAGGCCGCAACTGCTAACGCGGCGCGTTGTGTGGAAATGCTTCTTAAAAAACACGCGCGTACGGATTTGAAGAGCAGAGATGGACGCAAGCTGTTAGCTCTGGAGCTGTCCTTGTGTAACACCAGGTAACAAACAAAAGAAAGCTCGTCGTTTTAGTCTTTTTGATGGACTAAAATGGAGAAAGTGTAAAAAGGTTTGGCTATTTTTATCCCTCTCACACTGCAGAAAAATATTACCTTATTTAGAAATGTTGCTTTTTCTTGTTCTTTCTGCTTTCCCTTGTATTTTTTTCCTTTTTCAGTGATTTTTCGCTTTTTTGTTACTTTAGAAAGGAATTGATTTGGAATCTGGATGATAATTCAACCATTGAAGACTTGGTCGTTCGTATTAGTGGAATGGTAATGTTATTATCTTATAGAAACGTTTTGTTATGCATTGTTTGGATACCGAGAAAGTGATAGAAAGTTACAGAGAGAGACAGAAAATGAATATTTATAGAGTTTTGTGATATTTTATTAATTTATCAAGAGAAACTCAGCTTTGAGTCAAATGGAAGATTTATTAAAATAAAAAAAATTATTCTGATTTTTTTTCATAAGCTAACAAAACAAAGCTTAATTTGATGATTTTCTGCAGGATTTAACTACACTAAAACTTCTGTCAGAGAATACGAAGGAAATAGGTGACGTGGCACTCAAAATCGCGGAAGCAGGGCGTGTGGTGGAGTTAGCTGCTCTTCTAGTAGTTGCAGCAGCTAAAATAAATGAACTGATTTTAACGGTGCATGATGCTGATTTGGGTTATAAAGAGAAGACTACAATTTATGAGGCTGTGATTAGAGGGGCTCTGGCACTTGGCCGCCCTACGCCCTCGTTGAGGGTAGCAAAAAGGGTCACCGTTCTTAGCGAGAGGGAGCGTGCTGAGAAAAGGAAACTCTTGCTCTGTGAGATTGAGTTGCTTCAGCTCTTTGGTGCCGTTGATCTCATACGTTGTACGGACAGGAAGCTGCCGTCACTATTAATCCGAGCTGCACAGGTCAGAATAGGTTTTTATGTCTTACAATTTGTTTTTTCGGCATTTTGTTGAGAATGTGATTTGGTAATGAGAACCGGATAATGCATGCAATATTATGTTACATGGGACTCTGGAAAATGGACATACATGCCCTACAAAATCCGATATTCTTTAATCATTGATTATCGAGATATGTGGGCCGTTAGGTGAATCCGGGGGTTCACATTGAGCGATCCCTTTGGACTCATTCGTCTTTTTGTAGCATATGGGATTTGGGAGTTACTTCAGAGTGGTCCCCACAAATTCGGCTTTTTTTAAATTCATGAATAATGAAGTACAAAAATGATTCTGTTACCATACCTGGGGGCGTTCCACCGAACCGCACCGAAATATAAATTTCGGTGCGGTTTTTTTAGAAACTAAAAAAAAATTCAAAATTAAAATATAATCGAATTTTAATTTCGGTTTCAGTTTTATTTTTTAATTCGATTAAAATCGAATAACCGAAATTATTAATTTTTTTTTTAAATTCATCGATGAACGACGTCATTCATTCCAATCCTCACATCCTCGCCTTACCCTCATGCAAATCTAAGCTAATTGGAGTTAAATCAATTAGCCCATAACCAATTTTTGTTGCATTGATTACATAAGCCAACTGACCCAACGTCAAATGACCATAACCAATTCTTGTTTATAATTGTCCAAGAAGGTACATAATTTATTTCTTGATTCAATTTATAGTTTTTTTAAAAAAGATATGAGATAGTGTTTTTTTTCTATGTGAAAGAAAACTAGTTCATTTATGGACCTTGATAATAATTAGTATATCTTTTTTTAGTAAACATATATAATTTAAAATTGTGCTAAAAAAAATTGAGTGTTTAAAGTTTTAATGTTCTTCATTGTTCAAAAACAATATTGCCATTTAATTAGCGAAGGTTAGCTTATGGTCGTACTTGTTTAACAAGTTATCTAAAATTATTAGTTCTAATTACGTCAAGTTAATTAAAAGTGTCTTTCATAAAGATAAATAAGTCGGTTATATTTGAGCTTCAAAGCATGCTCGTTTCTTTTTAAAAGAAATTGTTAAAATGTCTTAATTGTAACACATATTTGACGGTATTATCTATTGATATCGATAGACAATAACATATATTATATATTATTAGACTTTATATGGTAATGATGACATCTCGTATTATATATATATATATCAATTGATATTATATTAATAATGTCTATTGAGGAGTAGTAAAATAATAGTAAATAAATAGAGTTCAATGAGATTGAAAAACGTATACATATAGGAACATAGTCTAAAAATCACAATGCAAATACTAAATTTATTTTTTCGAAAGTGCATGATACGTTCAAAAATCAAAAGTATAGATAATTATTGGTGAAAACCGAATTACCGAATAAAAAAAGCTGATATATTTCAAAACCGAACCGAAAAATCGAATAATAATTCGGTTCGGTTTTGGTTATTTTTTAAGCAATTCGGTTAACCGAAAACCGGTAAACAAAGTTTGAAACCGAACCGAATTATCGAATGAACACTCCTAACCATACCCATATTCTTCTGTTTATACTTTTGAGAAACCATTTTCTCAACAAATATTTATCGTTTTTGTGTGTGAATTCTATTATTGTAACATTTATTTTTCCACAATTAATAGCTTCTTTTTTTTTTTTTTCCAGTAATGTTTTCGTATATTTAAAGTGGGATCGCAGTGGCAAATTGAAATTCTAGGCAGCAAATAGAATTTTTGCAGATGAATAAAACAAATTTCAAACGAAAATATGCTTAGCAACTGCTTTGGACAAAAGAAGATCATGATATTTTGTATCAATTTGCAAATCACTATAGTTTTAGACTGTATAACTTACGTGGTTTTTGTCTTTGATAGAACTGTCATTTGCAATATAACGTCATTTTATAGTGACAAATTCTTTATAACCATTATCAACTGTCCTAATTAATTTCCTTTCATTTCTAACGAGTATACTCTTCAGCTTTAGTGCATTCTGTTTCCTGCATGCATTTCAACAAATCACTAACTACTTTGTACCTTTTAACTTGAATTCTCCCTGTATTCAAGTTAGCCCATCAGCCTTGACAAGAATACGTACAACAAAATTTCAAGAAAACAAAATGGGAAATTTAGCGCCCTTGTATTACATATTCAAATCTTCAAATGAGGGAAGCACAGTATATAATGTGATCACAAGTCTACAATATGGATTGTTATTTTCTTATGTAACCAGAGACAATTAATAATTCTCACAGGCTGGAGATGAAGTCATTATAGAGTTGCTTCTGAAGACGAACGTAGACTTAAATGGTGTTGATGCTGATGGACACTCTGCTCTTCATTGGTGTCTCAAGGCACATAAGCAATCATGTCCTCAGCAGATGAAGTCTCTCTCTCTCTCTCTCTCTCTCTCTCTCTCTCACGAACAAGCACAAGCACACGCACACTTATTTTGCTGAACTTTAAATTCCCTTCTGTTCCAGAATTATGTGGCTTCTACTGAAGCATGGTGCTCGAGTGAACCAGAAAAATAAGTTGGGGTTGACTGCGGTTCATATTGCTGCTTCAAATGGTAATTCACAGGCACTTCAGGTATATATGTGGTCTTCAGCTTACTTTTGCCGTTTTACAGTCTTCCAAGCACATCTAGCAACATATGATAGTTTCATATATAACTGAAATTTTTTATCATGGTCATTTTTCTATGGCACTTTACTGCAGGCCCTTCTATTGGAAGACCCAGATTGTATCAACTCTATAACAGAAATGAAAGAAACCCCATTATTTTTTGCTGTGAAGAATGACAATAAAGACTGTGCTGAGCTTCTATTACACTGGGGAGCAAGCACCGGAGTCTTTAATTTGCGGTTAGAAGCAACTGACCTATTTTCATTTATTTCATATATTTTTATTGTCTTTCTAATATTTATCGTCTCCCTCTCAACGAGGTGATATGCTGGTCCTTATAACTCAATGCTGACGTCTTTTTGTACTAACTATTATGATTCCCAGTAAAAAGAGACCTGTAGACTTGGCGGAGTCACAAGACATGCGTTTCATGCTAAACAATACTGATGTTAACCTCAGTAAGTTGAAATTCTAAACACACTTGAAAGGTTAGATAGAGTGAGAAAATATCCTAATAAAGAAGCTTGTGTCACTAATTTCGTTAATCTCATGCTTGCAATCAGCAGTAAATCGTCCCATTCAGCAGAGATATAGTGCATGGTTACAAGAAGATGATGTAAGTCAAGGAACCTGCAGAGAACTCTTAACCTTGACAGACGAAGGGAATCCTACTAATAGGTGACCTCCTTCGTTAGACCCACTAAGAATGATGTGATAAAATAGTGGTATTTTTAATTTATTTGGCCTCATAATTTTCCACTGCTTGTGGACAGTAGGACTTGCTCGAGTACAAACACAGAGATCTGCAAATACTTCCATACTCCTCGTGGATGTAATAGAGGCACCAAGTGCCTCTATTTACATGCTGAGGAAGAGCTACAGCAGGTGAAGCAAGGAAGATCCGCGATTCATTCACCTGCTGCAGAGCAACAAGAACGGAAAATTTTTGTTGGGGGGCTCCCTTCTTCTGTAGATTCTGGTTAGAAACCAAACACATTCTTCCAATTTTTTTTTGGGGGGCTCCCTCCTTCTGCAACTACATATGTAGTCTTATTAACCTGAAGAATCAAGTGCTGATTTAGTAAACTAAAGAATTTCAATTTTATCTTATATTGTCTTTCTTCTCCAACTTTTTTCTGTATCAGACTCTTTAGGAAAACTTTTTGAAGAGCAATTTGGTTCGGTGGACGATGCTGTAATGCTTGGAGTTCAAACAGCAGATAAGATACAGTCTCCAGGATTTGGCTTAGTCACCTTCAAAGATAAGAAATCTATGTCTGCAGCTGTTGAGGCACACCATGTTAATATTATGGGTAAGCAGGTTGCGATCAAAAGTGCCGTTCCAAAACTCCTTCCGCTAGTGGAGTTCCAGAAATTAACCCAACAATATGAAAGAAATCAAATTGACGAGAAACTTCCACAAGCACGGACGCTCAGAGAGAAAACTGTGAAGGAGATACCAAGTGAAAAGGCCAAGACTGACGTGCTTAATTGGCAGACATCAAGTGAGAATGAAAAAGTGATCCTCAGTTGTAAGACCACAGAAGAGATTAAATCTGAGTTCAGGACTTGGGCTGATACGTTAATCCATGGTCAACCGAGTGCATGTTCTAACAAATCTCAAGCACATGAAAAAAGTATGCCTAAGTGGTTCAGAACATTCAGAAAGTGGCTCCCTAGCTTCTTGCAACAAGTATCAAGGAGGGGAGGACAATATGCTCTATCATCTGTGAAAGCTGATTTCAAGGCCGTTTTTGGTCTAGAATTAGACCATGCCTCTCTCGGCTTCTCAAAGCTTAGTCACTTCATGAAATCTATCCCTGAACTTTGTCGCATTAAGTATTACAAACCAGTCAATCATATGATACTTCTGCCTAGTCTCCCTATGCCTTGTCAGCAGCCAGACAGTCCATCTTCTCATGCTACATCTATTGGTGATAGTGGTGATAGCAATTCTAATGGTTCCAAGTGCTATCAGGAACCTTTTCTATTGTCCATTGAGAATGATGACTTAAATGATAGCAGCACTAGGGTGTCCTGTCAGATCATTGATGAGAATCCTGAAGATAAATCACCCAGTGTGAACTCGAGATTTCTTCAGTTCTTGAAACCAGACCAAATCTTTCATGCTCGACCGTGGGTAAATAGTGACTCGGATGGAGGCAAAGAGACCGCTGTTGGTGAAAGAGGATCGGGAAAGGGGTTTCAAGAGATCAAGCCCCGGCCTCAAGGAAGGCATTTGGTTTTAGAGGCCCTGGCAAGAAAAAAGAATTGCTCATCTGTTTACTTTCTTCGAGAATTTGATTTCTATGAGGTGAGGATTCAACAAGTTGGAATTTATTCATTCAGTATTCTAAAATTCACTTTGTTTTAAGATAACATATGCACAAAAATACTATTGGGTGGGTATTTGCAGAAATACAAGGCAAGCATCGCGCAAGGAAGGTGCTACGGGTGCAACGAGCGTCGGATGTTGTGGGCCAACTTCCCATGCCTGCACCTGTTGTGGTGTACTGATTGCAAACTACAAGCTATGATGGCAGCTCGCATTGGTGAACACAACTGTGTGGTGTGTGATATCAAAATGCAGAAAATAGATTTGATATCCTGGCATCAATACTGTCAGCCCATTATTGACATAGCTTACACCAAGGAGTTCCCCCCGTTTGATCCTGATTACATGCGAAAGTAAGGCCATGTCCCATTGATTATTTTTTTCCTGAAGCGTATGCATTTATTTATTTTCTTTTACATTAGTTATTTGAACCAACAAAATGCTTGATCATTCCTTGATTACTTGTCTAATTTCTAATGGTTTTTCTTTTTATTCTCCCTCTGCGTCTATCCAGTAAGAAATCTCTTTCACAGAAAATTAACAATCTTGTCGCAGACTGTATTTCAATAGAAGAGAAAGCTGCAGTCATGCGAAGGCCTTCACAGAGTAGCTGTCTGTTACTTGCAGCACCTAGGGAAAGGCTTTTGGGTGGGACCAGTTCTTCTTAGCAGCAAAAGAGAAAAGCTATATATACAAAATACTATAGATCTACAAGACTATCTTACTTTTGGTGGTGAAACAAGTATGTAGTTGCCTGGGTGTTTTTAGTAAATATGCTTGCCGCTGGCAAAATTTCAACGCTTTTCACCATTTTGTTGATTGCCTCTTCTATCTTTCAGTGAAGAGGGAATCCATATATAGATAGATTTCAGAGTGTGTTGTTCTCCAATACAAGCATATCCACTTGCTTTTGCTATCCAATCGACAACATAAATTGATTGATACTAGGGATGTGGTTGTTTCTGTGATATAAACTAGAACAAAGGTTGAGTTAAAGCTATAATGCATGCCTTGATCAAATATGTTCGAACGCTTCTTTTCCTTTGTTTTTTTCTTTTCTTTTATGTTTTTTAAATACTTGGCTTAATACATGTTTTAATGAAAAATTTCTATGAAACCGCACAGAGTTGGTCTTGTTTGCAAAATGAAAAAAAAAAAAATGTTTTCTAATCGTGTGTTTTCTGGTCTTGAAAACTCTGATAGACGTTAACATGATAAATGCAAGTGGCTTCACAGTATTGGAGATGAGCGAAATGTGTTAATGATAGTAGCATCCCTCGTTGCAACCATAGCTTTCCAAACTATAACTAGTTCATCAAATGGTCTTTGACAAGAGAATTTACAGGGTACCTGTAGCAGGTCCACGTCGTGGGGCAAGTGGGACGAGTTTTGAAAAATAGGAAAATGGATAAAAATAAATAAAGTAATCATTTAGTATTATGATTATTAGGAATTCGTATGACTAATCAATTTAAAATTTTTGATAATGAATTTATTATGTATAGAAAAGATTAAAAATCATCGTATCTTGTCTTATCTAAGATAAACTGCATTATATGCAAAATTAATTTGATTTTTAATTCTTTTTTATGATAAAAATCTATAACTGTTTTTCAAAATTTTACCCATTGATTGAGTGATTTAAGACTTTAATTGGGTTGATTGTTACACATAACGAGAGATTAGATAATTTGGATCACATTTGTTCAATTTTCAATACTATAGAGTTCAAATTACAAGATTTCGTACTATGGGTTCGAAATTATCAAATCGTAATAAAATAGGATAAAATTTGCTATTAAACTAATTATAAATTAGTTCCTCTAAGTTTGAAAATGAATTAAATAATTTTTTGCTTTGTTTTGAAAAAAAATATTATTTCATTAACCAACATTAATCATGGTTAATTTAATATAAAAGTGTTTCAAAAAATGTCTTATTTTCTCTTCAATATTTTCATACTATTTATTTATTTTTATACTTTTTCTATTTCATAAAACAAGAAAATAAATTAAATTAAAAAACAATTAAGTTACAAATTTTTTTTAAAAAAGAATAATTATTTAATTTGTGAAATAAAAGAGATTATTTAATTCGTTTTGCAAAAAACTAATTTATAATTTATTCCTAAATAGAGAGGGAAGGCTCCAAAAAGTAGAGAGGGAGAGGGGAGGAAAAAGCTATGTTGTTAAGCGACTAGCTAGCTTTATCAAGCGAATTGACGACTTGTTTTTTTTAACTTGGTTTCTCATGTTTTTGTCTTAGATTTGACTTGAAGAAATAGGTTAATTGATCTTTACTAAAATCTTTTTATTTGCAATCTTTTAATTTTAAATAAGTTAACGCCCATCAAAATCACTCAAAAAAAAAAAAACCATAAGAAAAACTCATAAATAAATTAGAATCATTACAAAAATCACCATAACCATTATCACCCAAAATTGAAAAAAAAATAAAATAAAAAATCTCTCTCTCTCTCTCTCTCTTAATCCTTATCCTTGCTGGGAATCTTTATACTTATTTAGCACATTTCCAACCCTAGACTGGCCAATAATAGCTCAGACCAAATACAAAAGAGGCCCATTTAGAAATCCAATTCCCTCTTTTACTTATTTCCCTGGGAAAGGAATTGAATACCACTAAAACAGAGCAAAAGCGTTTTTGGTCTCATCAAGGTGGACACATCACTTTCTGCAGATGAATATCCCGATTCCAACGAAAGGAATCCTCAAGGATCCGAATCTGAATCCAATAATAACAAAACCAGTGATGTATTAGGCAAGGCTTTGTCTACGATCCTAGCCACTGTGATTAAGGATTTCGATTCTAAAGCTCAAGACACTCTCAATAGCCAAGACCAACTTACTTCTGCTATCGATCGTCTTAGTAGAGGTAAGTTTTTATTTCTTTTTCTTTTCATAAATGTCATTATGGTCATGTAATTCTATGGTTTAGATGGTTTTATAAAAGCTGCTTTAGATAGACAGCTTCTTCACCTTGCCTGTTGTCTGCTGGGAATGTTTGCTAGACTAGGTTTTGCTATAAAGTTTTGTACTTAGGATTTTTTTTTCAGGATGTTATCCAGAATCCCTTTTGAAGGGTTTTTGTTTCCTATGGGGTCTAGTTTCTAAATTAGAGAAATGGATATGGTCAATTAAGAAATGGAACATGTGGGAGAGTTATTAGAGTTTCTTTCTTTTCTTTATGCTTGATAGTTTGATGGATTTAGCATGAGTTATTTTTCATGGCCACATATCTAGTTTTCTTTTGGAGTACCTAATACTTGAGGAAACAAATATACAGTTGAAGCATCTGTAAGTATGTTGAAACAATATTGCAGCTCATTGAGCTTCAGTATTAAGCAGTCCAAGACGCACATTGTTTTCCGTTGTGTATGCAATTTGTTTTGGTCTTTATTCTTTTTCTGCATTGATCCTTAAGTTTTTTTTTTTAATTATTAATCTATGTCATGGAGCACATAGTTGTATTTTTTTAGCAAGGTGACATTTCGTTGCTGCGCTTTTGTATTGTAACCTTAGTCCTGCTTGCCGATAAAATTTATTTTGTGAGTTTTCAGAGCTTGATCAGTTGTTGGAAGATGCACCCTTGCCGTTTATTATGCAGCATGCAGCGAAGATTTCAGGTGTTCGAAAGAGAGTTTCATCATTGAATTCTGTTCTAAAATTAATACAGCGCCGTGTTGATAATATAGACCTACTGCTATCTGTGGGCATCCTTCAAAGTATGTATATTTCTTCTAATGTTGCATTATCTTTTTTTTTTTTTTTTTTTTTTTTGAGTTTCTTAAGCTACAAACTCTTTGTCAGATGCTAATGCTTCTATTAAGATACTTTTTTATTTTGTTTATGTAGTTTTCTTGTTGTTGCATCATGTGTTTTGAACTGATAAAATAGGATATATTTTGCAGGGAAGACAACTGTGGACAGTTCATCAAAACACTAATACTAGTTTTGAAGTGCAGGTAACTTACATATGTTTATCCATTTATTTATGGTTTCCTGTAGTGTGGTTTTTGCATAATTTTCTGTTGTAAGGAGCAGTGATTAGAGGATTATGAACCAATATATCTCACAGAAATATTGCTGCTAAAATAAGGTTAACCAAATGCAGATGCATGTGTTTTATATGTTTAGATGTGGATTCTCTTTCACAAGTTACAGATACTTTCACAAGTTACATGTACTAACTCTACTCTCTTTGATAATGTTAGCATCCCTAAATTAGTTGCTTGTTTTTTCTTCATAACTTTCTTTAGCACACAATTTATTGAGCTTCCCAGATCACTCGATATGCTGATCAAAGTAAAGTGCGTAATTTGATCCCCATCGTGATTGCAATAAAATGATTGGACACATACAGTATAGTGATTGCTTTAACCTGTTAAGTCCTATGATTGGACAATTTTTAGAGTTATAGAAAAGGCTAGGGGGCATGTGTAAGAAGCAATAGATAGGTAGAAGAAAAATGAAGGGAAAAGGAAGGAAAAGCATGTGTGCTGTTTGCTTAGAACTCCTGTATCCCTCTTTCTGACACATAAATGGACTGAATATGTTCTTTGCAGCCATTGGAGGAGTATCTTTAAAGTTGTTCTTTTCCTATTTATGTATATTATACAGTAGATCATCAGTATTATCATAAAAGATACTTGACTTTACATCTCAGTTTAATGAGAGTGAAGAAAGCTGTTTCTGCAAAATCTTCAACGGAGACAAGTTTCATATAAGAGCTCCCAATTGCCTTCTAAATGGTGATAAAAAAATTTGACTAAGATGATGATGGTCATTACGGAAGTGAACTGCTTCATCCAAGAGTGGTGCAAACCTCCTTTGTTATAGGTTTTGGTAAGTCTTTAGCTCGCATGACCCAGTTTTCTTAACTCTTTGTTTATATGCCCTTTTCTCCTCTTTCTTTTATTTCTCTTCATCTATAGGAGGAAGTCGGTAAAATGGAAGCAATGGAGTGTGGTTGGATATTTCACAGTATTAAGACACTTAAAAAATTAGAATTAGGAAGAAGTGATTATTCTACACAAAGTGGAAAGGATGCCATTGCTGGTACAATTCTTCAAACAATGTGCAATAAGGAAATTTCCATGATACAAAAGCATTGTACGGAATGCTTTTTTCTTGTTTTTAAAAATTTCTGAAAAGATTTGAACGCTTTTTTCTTTTATTCTTTGGTGTTTGTACTGCAGGACCGAAAAAACCTGTTTGGGAATTAGTGAGTGCTCTAATTTACCGATCCTTTCCTGCGTGGCTCCTTAGCATTTAAGAAGAAGATGAAGAAGAAATTCTCAAGGAAAGCTATTATGCTTGCTGCTGTCGTGGAGTGAAATCAATCCGCATCCACTTGATGTGTATCAAAATCTGTCAGCATTCTATCTAGGAACTGGAAACAACCTTACTTACAAGTGTAAGGGAAGTTTCAAAGGTTGCAGCTAACATATTTGGGAATGAGATATTTGATGCAAAATTATTTGGGAAATATTTAATTGAAATGTCATGCTGTTTATGCAAAAGAACAAAGAAATCTGTACTGAATTTACTTTCCAGTTGATTGTTGAGAGTTTTGGTATTTGAATGGCAATATGATGGCATGCATTAGGATGCTATGTGGATTTAGAATCCATTTCTTACCTAAATTTCCATTTTTCTGCCACTAAGCTGTAAAGGGTTATAATGCTGCTAGAAAATTGTCAAACTGGGAGTCTATTGATGTTTGCTGTAAACTTTGATGACTGAATGACTTGTGTTCTTGTGGTTCCTTTATCGTTTATTTAAAGAATTGACTGCATAGCACAAACAGAAGTCAGTCCAAGTGATTTCAATGACGAATTAATCAGATTTATTTGAATGTAATCCAGTTCTCTGAATTTTAAGCCGATCATATTTCTTGATTTTCACCTCGCAAAATGGATGCCTTTTTACTAGAGAAGTGCACATTTCTTTCATTTTCACTTGTGTAGACGCCGAACTAAAATGAAAAAAGTGAGACGTACAAGAATAAGAAAACGAATCCAAGTTGCCTGCAATGATTGCCATGTCTACTTCTCAAGGGAATGGCTATGTAAGGTAAGCCCAACAGCCCATGATCTTTGCCTTACTTTTCTTTTTCTCTTCACTGCTATAAGCCCATGATCTATTAATTTCGAAGAAACGCTTTGAATAAGTGGATATGATTAGGGAATCTCATAAATCTGATAACATTTTTTCCCAAATTCTTCTTTTGAAAATTTTTAAGCATCGAATAAAAATCTCAGTATTGAATAAGTGAATTCTAGTATGAAATTTCATAAATCTAATAATTGTTTTCCGAGTAGAAATATTTCAGAAAGATTAGCTTTGTGTCTATATATATATATATATATATATAAAACTAACATAAAATATATAGAGCTTGGAAAAGATCAAGGAGAAAAAGTAGTCGATAGTAAATGTTCATCCATCAATATGAATAAAACTCAGCCCTGACCAATTATTGCTCCTCTCCAATTCTGCCTATAAGTACACTACTATTTCCTCGTAACATCAAGTCAAACTTATAAAGGGCATCGTTGTATAAACATTTTTTGGCAGAAGCCACGCAAAGCCTCTCCATTTTCACCTTTCTTTTGGTTGTCGTCTTCGTTCTTCCAGGGAAATATCTCCCTTTAGTTTTAAAAGTAAGTGAAGACTTTTTTTTTTCGGTGGAACACTTATTTTTTTAAAAAAATTAAATATTGTTGAATCCTTGCAGGTAACGAAGTGAATGTTGAAGGTGCTGGTTCAAGCCCTGTTTGCATTGAGAAGCTACTGGGAGGTTGCTGCAATGCATTACAATGCAAGGATCTTGTGTGCGAAAAAGACAAGCAGAAGGTGCTTGTGGATTTTGCATAACATTTGAAGAACCAAACGACACTTGTCTTTGTCGCTACCCTAGCTAAAAAAGTTACCAACCTGTTATTACTTCATTTCATTTTAGCCCTTGTATTCGCTGATATTTTACTGAAATAACAAGTTTTTAATAAGAAAATTGCTTTACGATGGTTAGTGATACACCGAGTAAAATACACTCGACGCATGTTCTTCATCCAGTTAAAATAATAGGACCCATCTACTACAAAGCTAGATACATAGGATCCCGTACAATGAAGAGCTCTTACAAATGGAAATTCACCCGTACCGCCACGCCATTCATATTCGGGTCCAGCGCACTCCACTAGAGAGAAACACAAAAGACAAGCATTAAATAAAAGGCACAAGCCCACGCGTTAATTCATAAGATGACACACGTTAATGAGAGATATTCTTCTAAAAGGATCACCACACTTATTAGAAACCGTTACACAATATGGATAGGATCTATTTCGCCCTTACTGTGTAAAGACAAATACACCCCAAGCTCTTCGCAAGCCATTTCTGCCACCCACTGTAAAACGAAAAAACTCTAGGCACAGAAAAGGTTAAGCAACCTATTAGCCAAGCAAAAACTGCCAAATCCAAGAAAAAAGCTAATCTAATCTATGACCTCATTGGCACCGTTGGTGAGAAATTAATCAAAAAGCCAATCTCTAAATCTTTTTACTTCTCCATTCTCTAAGTTTTTTCGTGGCTGAAAATAAATAAAAAAAACTCTTTCAAAAACTAGTAGATTTTGCCAATTCAGCTCTTGTAGCTATAGTGACACATTGAGCTACTAATTAAGGTGTACATATCAACTCAGGAGCATATCAAATCACTAACTACTCCACTACTGATGCTACAAACTTAACATCAACCCCCATATAGCCTAGAAATAGTCTTTCCACTGACAGATTTATGCTTGACAAGTCCACCACTCTAAGAGAGACCGCTTCCTCAATCTGCTTGGCAAGGGGATGGTCCGTTATAAAGAACGAGAGGCCAAAAAGAGAGAGCACCCTTGCTCCTAAGAACCGTATAATGGTTGTCACCTTAACGAAGAGCCAGACAGCTATATTTCTTGAAAAAAAAAAAAGAAAATGGTAAAACTAAATATCATCAAAGTGCTAAGAGCAAGCACATCATGATCTGTAACATATGTAAGAACAAACATAAGGAAAACTCCTCGTCATCCCAAACCTCTTCAATAAGCCCCCAACCCAAACACCAATGAAATGAGAACCGACTAGTCGTCACCCTCCAACTAGCACTACAACAAAAAACAGATATAGAGGTGAAATGGTTGAGGCGGTTTTATAAACCGCCTCAAAGTGTTTTAGTACTTACACCGAGGGCGACTTATATGAAACAAATTTGAGGCGGTTGACAAAACCACCCCAAACTTTAATTAGAGGCGCACTCGAGTTTTATTAATGAAATAATTTTTTATTTTTATTTTTTTTAGTTTGATTCGAAACGGGAAAAGATCTTTCATCTTCCCTCTCCTTAGGGTTTTCGAGCTTCTCCTTCTAAATTTGCTAATTCTCCTCGATTTGCTCGCATCCTTCTTCTCTTTGGCTTCTTCATTTTTAATTTTGTTTGGTTACGAAAGGGTGAAGATCTTATCGAGAGCTTTTCTTCTTCGGTCGAGGTTTGTATTCTCTACTCGCTTCCATCTTGTGATCTGCTTCTTCTTTCTTTACCTTTTTTTGTTTGGTTTTGAAAGGGAAAAGAACGCCACATTATTCTTCTCTTCTTAGGGTTTTCTTCTCCTCGCTACATTATCCCTCTCCTTTTAGGGTTTTTCTTCTCCTCTCGTTTATTCAATCTTCTCCTCTCCTTCGTCCTTGTCTCCTTCTTGTTAGAAACAAAATTATAGCTATCCTCTAAATCAATTGGGTACTCATTATTGATTTTATCATTGATCTCCGTAATGGTAAGTATGCTAAGTTTAATTTTGTAGCCAATCAATTAGATTACCGACTCTTTTCTTTTCTAATTCCCTTGAAGTTTTCAATCTAATATGCTACTATCTTGTTTTGATTTTGTGACTTAAAGCTAGAGCATCGAGGAAGCAAGAGCAATTGTCTTCAAAAGAATTCCCAAACTGGAGAAGGATCGTTAATTTGAGTCCTAAAAGCATCTCCGTATCCCAAGGCAATCCGAAGGTAATGTGACTTTCCTATTAAGAAACTTGCATGAAAGAAGAGGTTTTCAATTCTTGTCCGAATTGTTGTGTCATGCTTAGGTACTTAAGTTACGCCTAGATGTTATACTTCAAAGACACTCGTCAATGGTCTTGTTGTGTCATGAAATTGCTTATCCTAATTAGCAATTTCAATTAGTATGTTGCTTGTCCTAATTAGCAAGTTACTGCCTAGATTGTGCAATTTTGTACCGAGAGCCTAATGTAAAATTGCTTGTCCCGAAGATTGAGGGATTATGAATAGAACAAAATGGACCGGTTTAAGGATATGAATTTGCTTTAAAAAATAAACGGATCGTGCTAAGAACCATCTACATACGATTCTTTGTACTTTAGCTACGAACAAGCACACCGACGAATCATGAGGAGGAAACCTATAGTTTTGATGTTTTCTATTTGGTTCTTTGTGCTTGGGAATTCTTGCTTCTTTCTTGAGAATTATGGTCTCCAACGCATGATTCTAATGCCTATGCTTGTATAAAAATGGACACTCATAACTTATCTAAGTTTAGTGGTTTCTTTCTTAATCGGTAGGTGTTCGGTTCGATTCGTTGTATTGGAAATGTTTTGTGATAGTTTTATTTTGGTAAGCGAGATGAGATTCTTTCATTTTCTGTTTCATTTAACTCAAAAAAAAAAATTATATTACTCCACCAATACCTAAGGAATTGTTTTACCTAATTGTCATTTTATATCAACGAGCTTAGCATTCATCAAGAATTGTTTTATTTATTTTATAAGTTTTCCTTCAAAACTAAGGAAAAGATGGAGACAGGAAGTTTTCTAAAACCCATTTGAATTTGAAGTTTCATGTAGTAATTAATACTCATCGGCTAGTTTTCTTCCCTAACTACCTAAGAGGAGACAATTGCAAAAATGTCTTGTCAAGCCTAGAATCTGTCATTGGTTTTTTTAGGAACATTTGCCATCCGATAAAATGTCAAACGACAATATATCAAACTAATCTAAATTTCAATTGCATGATTATTGGAAATCATTGGAAAAGGAAAACAAACTAAGGATTCTTTAAACTATCCTGTCTCCAATTCAATTAAACCTTCAGTCTTAATCACAAAGCAAGCAAGAACATCCTTCGTTCCTTAAATCAAGTGAAGAAGGAGAAAAAGAAACTAAAAAAGATAGCTCAAAACAATATTAATCTTACCAAAGCATCAAATAATTTGTATTGCTAATCGAAAAAGAAAAGTTGGCCAAAAGAAAGAGTATAAAGGTATCCTTGTGGAGCTGGAATGCTAAGAAACTGCTATTTATGAGTGTTGAAACACGATTTACTATGAAAAGTGGTCTACTATCCATAATTATTGATGAAAAAATAGGGAGAGGATGCTTGTTTTAAATGGTTACTATAGTGGAAAAAAGTAGCTAGATAATGATTGTTGTCGAGTGGACAACTGGATATAATATATTAGGTAGAGTTACTATTTTAGGAACAGGTTGCTAGACGGATTACCATTAGGAGTTAGAGTAGCCATGGTAAGGATATTGAAAGAGAATCTAACCAAGAGTTGTAGCTATTGGAGGAGGAAGCTGCTAAAGAGATTGCCTTCAGAATAATAGGTCCGTTGGAGGAGAATCGGCCAAGAGTTGCAGCTATTGGAGGAGGAGCTACTATTGGATAGTTGCAGCAACAACGATGGCGATAAGAGGGAGACTAGCCAAAAAGGGTTGGATTGATAGAAGAGGGGCTGGATAATAAGGTTTTCATTGTAGATTTGAGGGATAAAGGAGATGTTTCACGTCTAAAATAGAGGAGGAGAAGAAATGGTGACGACCTTGGGTTATATGAAGGAGAAGTTGGCGGGATTTAGATGTAGGAATAATGGTTGGCTAGATTTAGATGAGGAAGGTTGTGGGTGATGAAGGCGATGGATGATAGTAGGTGTCGAGCTTTTTAAAAGTCGTGGCTATAGAGGCTTTTGGTTTTTATGAGAGAATGTTTCTTTCTAGGTTTTTTTATGAAAAAGATGAATTAGTCTCCTCCTTTGTGTAAGGAAGAAAGTGATGTTTATATAGTATAGGTGGTTATGGTTTTTTAGGAAACCCTAACTTGTCATTTTTCCTTTTATTTTTCAATTCCTCCTCTCATCTCTTCGTTTTCTCTACCAACTCAATTTTCAATTAGGCTTTTTTTTAATTGAACCCCCAAAAAAAATTTTCTTTAGTTTTAATTTTCCATGTATTTTTAGTTGGAACCTAAGTCTCGACATATTGAAGCTATAGTCGGCCTTGATGTTGTTGCCTAGGCTGAGACCACTAAAAATGCCACTCTCATCGACTCTCCTCAACAAAACTATAACCCCGCTCATAGTTCTAAATAATGACTATTATATAACGAATCGAAGTAGAAATATACCACTTATATAGTAGGTGAATAGTTAATCAAAATCGATAAAGTAAAAGTAGAAATGCATTGTTTGATCCGGATATGCCATGTGAAGCCAAATCCATATAACCCATGAACAAAATCAAGTAGTCCCACGAAGCTGAATCGAAGGCTTTTTAAAAATCAATTTTAAAGAATCCCTTAATTCTCGACTTCTTCATGCTCGTGGATAACTTCGTTCTCCATTAGTGCCTTGCATCCTTAATTAACCTCATCCATCGACACCATTCTTTCTAAACTTATAGAAGATTTTGAGCTCAACTTCTTGAAACCACTCTCTCCCATAGGCCTAAAATGAGGAGAGCCACCAAATAAATTGGCAAAGTAATTACTTGCTGCGACCTTAATTTCGAAGGCTCATTGAACACTTGGTTTCGACTAGAAATT